TTGATCTATTTTATACATCGGCAAGTCAATAAACGCCAGGAAATCCTTGAAACAAACTCAGTAATTTCAAGTAAATTATTTGGTTGCGAAAATGAGCTCACCAAATATGACGTCACAAATACCTATAATTTCGTTTCCACTCCAAGCGTGGCCATTTCTAGTTCGTTTTCGTGAAGCTCTCGAAAATCGTCGGATTTTCATGTCTTGGGCGCCACAGTTCACACAAAACTTATTTTTAAGAGTTGATTCTGCTTCATGTCGATATAACTGACTTTTTTATACAGGTTTTTCGACAAAAGAAAAATTGTCAAAATTTCGTTGCATTTGACCTTTAAAAGGGGTGACAGAGGAACAAGTAAAAGCACGCACTTTCCCCAAACTAGCCGAACCCATTTTTATATGTGACCTCGCAGCTCTTTGCCAAATAATTGACAGTAAGCTGTGCTCGGCATCCACCAACCCAATTCATCTCTACATCTATGCTCGTGACATGGCATACTTCAAATTGCGCTTCTTTTCTGGCGATCGCCCATCAGACTTGAGCCATATAAAGGCTGCTGAAATTCTCCATTTTCCTAATGCAACCAGGTCTTCGGGAAGACCCTCCGTTCAGGTGATTCCAAGGTCTTTGCTCTGTGCCCAGTAAAGGCACTAGACAACTATTTGATCATTTGTCAGACTATTAAGATCTCAGTGTCTACTAGTCCACTCTTCAGAGCAACATGTGGACAATCCATCCATCAATCCATTATTTGACAGCAGCCGGTCTATCCAACAAAACTCTTTACAGCTTCTGCTGTGGGGGTGCGATTACCATGGCTCTTACTGGTAGCACACTGGATGACATTTTTTTTTTTTTGTTCGCATAACATGGCTAAATACTATCTGCAGTTACACCAGAAACCACATCACAATATGAAGAGTTGAATCAGCTTAACGGATTTGGGCCAATGTCCCTCATACTACAAAAAGACCCTGCTGTAGCATGTTTAACTTCACAAGAATCCATTGTAAATATTTAGTCATTGCTATTACAGGTCTCTACATTTCAGTTTGAGTCAAGATATGACACTATCAAGATGAATAAATAGTTTACTGTCTTCGCTGTCGCGTGTGAATACTGAGGCATCATGCCGGCCTGTTTGCTTTAAGCATTTTCATCTTTGACATGAAAATTTACGTAAAAGTACTCCTTAAAATGAGAGTTTCCTCCAGTCTGGAAATTCGTAGTCGAGAAGTGACAAGCGACATTACAGTTTTATAACTTTCACATGTTCAAACTCGTGTCACACGAGACATCATGTTTTTGTAGTCTCGTTCACAAATGGTGCTTCGCGTTGAGAGTTGTTTATGTGAAGTTTGGATCGATCATGAGAATGTTCGAACGTCAGCATACACACAGCTGAGAGTTGCTCAGGAATTGTTCAGTGTTCACGGGAAGATTTTCGTCACGTGCTAAGCAATGAGTTGAGCAAGTGGCTCAAATTTCATTCACAAATAAACACTAGTAAAAAGCTGTATTTTGTGATCTATTTTCTATGCTCTTGACAATGAAAACGCAAATTATTGAACAAGCTCAACTGCAGCTTGGTTACCTTGGGAGGAATAATAATTCTGATTTCCACCAACAAAGAGACAAGAGGCCGCAGGTGAAATACCAACAGCTTCTGCCAGAAGTTGTTTATAATTATTAATTCTCATCCAATTTATAAACTTTTATCAGTTTGCTCTGAATTTAATATTGAGTTTGCCATATATGTAACGTTTACGGCGAGATAGAGACAAACCACAGAATGCAAACTGCGTGTTTGGATGTCCCGAAATCCCAGATATAAAAAACTAAATATGCTAGCGTACGCGCGAGTGTTGGAAACTTGACAAATTAGCGAAATGTTTTGGTGTCTTCTTAGTCAATTTGTGTGGCAAAAGTGAAAGAAACAACAAATATCTTGACCTCTGCTGAGCAATACTGTCGAATTACTAAAAACAGAACAGTTCTGTGACAATAGCGACCTTCTTGTGTCGCATTGTTTCTTTTGAACATTATGCAAATATAAGGCATCACACACGATACCTTAATTGTTATGTTAACTGAGCCATTGCCGTCTATAAACTGTGTATTTTGAAAAAAAGATGAATACACCAAGTAAATTGATAAGATTCTCATAGAAGAGTATTTTGTAACTGCTGGCATGCATGTGCATTTTTGGTCATGTCCGTCCAGGATGAGGTTTAGAAATTCGTCCCACCAAGGTGAATTCGCGGCAGAACACTTCAGCAAAGACGAGGTTTTACCAGTTTTATTCCAGTGCTCCGTTATCCTTCCTTTTGCTTCATTTCAGTCATTTGATCACTGTGTGCTTTGGTGAGTTAGGTTTGATTTCGTCATACCATGAGTTGCCCCAGGTAGGCCAGTCATACTATTTTGACCAAAAAAAAGTTATCGGGCCTACCAGGCTTACCCTGGTTATGTTGCTAAGGGTGACTCGTGTTTCACTTTCTCAACAAAATGGTGAAAGTTAGCTCATCTAGGGTCACTGGGGGAGGGTTTTCTTGGTTACCTAAGACCAAATAAGGAGACTCACTGTCAGCAGCAATCATGTGATTATATATCTAGGGTCACTGGGGGAGGGTTTTCTTGGTTACCTAAGACCAAATAAGGAGACTCACTGTCAGCAGCAATCATGTGATTATATATCGATTTCCAAACTTTGGTGACCTTGAGTTCCTGTTGCTGGATCTTATGTTTATAAAATTGGCATAGTTAATCAACAATTTAGGAATCTGAAGTTTGATTAATTTAAATTCCTAAACAATATTGCAACTTTTCTTTATATAAGGATCCAAAAATGCTTTATGCAGTGTTTGTCGTAGTTTGTTGGACACACTTCAGAAATTTTATTTCTCCTTTGTGCAGGTGAGGGTGCTGAAAAAATTTCTTTATGTGAAAATTTGAAGACCTCAATTCCATGTATTGATACTGGACATGAGCTATTAATGTTTTATAAATTATGATATTAGCTCCATGTCCATTACCACCTTGTATCTGCTTGGTCACGATTTAAAAGGCAGATGGGGTTGGATCGTTTACTTGTGAGAATTACATTTTCTAAGGTAAATACATATTGAGTTCCTAGTGCTAGATCTTATCAGGAAATTTATCTTTTAGTTTACATTTTCTGTTAAAAAGAGTTAGGGCAATGTAAAAACCAAAGAGGGAAGGGAGATGATATAAACATTTACTCCAATTTTTAACTGGTGAATATTAAGAGAGTCTCATTTGATCTTTTTAAACCTTAGGATACCATCCTCCAATACCTTTGCAAGACCATCCAAGCACACCATGTTTCTGGCAATACATGCAACCACCATGGAAAGCTATCTATTTATTGTCATTGTACTGTCAATTAAACATCTCAAACCCAATCTTGGGTGTTTTTTGGTATTTGCTGAAAATGCTCATTTATCACTTGTACAATGCATTCTCTTGAGGCCAATAATAAACTCATCAATGGAAAAAGAAACAGGGAAGCTGGGATGGAAGGCACTGGAGAGATATTAGGTTTGGATTTCATCTTTACTACTACAACCTCTGTGACACTCTTCTCTAGAATATTTCTTAGTAGGTCAGTTTAAACGAAATGTAAAATAATTGTTAAAACTATCTTTATTTACATAAGATTTGTGATTAAAATTACAAGCATAAAGCAAAAAGAAAATAATTGATTATCATTTCAAACTTAGAGGCAGTAAAGTTATTAAAGTTTCTCAAAACAGATACCATTAGAAAACAAGGGGTTTGGTTGTCATAAGAGATCACCTGATATTGATCTTTCCAGCTTTGTCATGACCTTTCTCACTGAACTCTTTGTTTTGGCAACAAGTCATTTTGGGTTAACAAGTTTCTCCTGGATAAGTTGACTTATACTGCCAATGGCTT